AAAACAAGGGAGGGGGCTGCAGCTCTTTGCAGGACAGAAGGCACTGTGCTCTGCTGGCTTGTTTGTTGGCCTTATTGGGGAGTTGCTCACCCATGCACAACATCAGCCAGGGCAGACAGGTATAGTTGAGGTCCTGTTGAGTTAGCTACACTCTCTTACTTAATGGCCTCCTGTCAGTCAAGATGTTGCCCAGGTAGAAAAGATAACTACACCTGTAGAACTGGGAATGGGTGCTAGAGTAGACAACTGTGAGAATCCATAGTCAGGTATTGACCCAGGGGGTGAATAACCATGACCAAGTTAAGAGATCTGAAATAGTTCAGTGTCAAAACATGATAGTGATGCTGGGAGAAGAGAAAAATTAAATAGGCAGAAGCAAGTAACTAAGCTGGAATTTAGAAATGAGTACAGACCCCAGCAATTAGCCCTGCAGAGAGTTAAATGTCAATGTCTAAAAATTATCTGGAGTGTCCAAAAGTAGATGACTGAGTTAAAAAGATGTGGTACATATACAGAACGGAATATTACTCAGCAATCAAAAAGATAACCACATGCCTTTTGCAGCAACATGGATGGAGCTGGAAGGCATCATGCTTAGTGAAATAAGACAGAAGGAAAAAGAAAAATACCAGATGGCTTCACTCATATAGCAGGAGCATAGACTGAGGGGTGGGAGGGGAATATTAATAATATAATATATACTCTGGTATATTATATACCAGAGACATTTTACAGGGGTGGAGTGGGGAATGGGATCAAAAATGAGGAGGGGAGAGTGCATGGGACTATGGTGATGGTACATGGGTGAATTAGTGATGGGATGTCCATGGGGATTACAACTAAGATGGAAAAATACACAAAATATAAAAATAAACTATTATAAAAAAATTATCTGGGGTGTTATGAACTGAATTGCGATCCTCTCCCCCATGGGACTGGATTTTGCAATGGAACCTTTAAGAAGGTAGTAAGTGTTAAATGAGAGCATAGGAAGGGGCACTGATGCAGTGGAACTGGTGTGTTGAGAAGGAGAGACACCAGGGTTGCTTGAGCACAGAGACCACATAGGACGTGGTGAGAAGACAGTCATCTGCAAGTCAAGGAGAAAAAAAAACAGGAGAAAACAAATTTGTAGTATCTTGATCTTGGAACTCTAGTCTAAGAAGTGTAAGAAAGTGAATTTCTGGTGGGTAAATCATCCAGTCTATAGTAATTTGCTACAGTAGCAATAGCAAATCAACACCTGGTAAAAGCAAAGAAAAGGCCAGGTCTTGGCCAAGATATTTCTGTCATCTGCAGTCACTTCCTACTGAGGCTCACCACTGCATCGGAAGGATCAACCTCCTCTTGACAATAGATGCCTAGTAAGCAGAATACGTCTTTCCTATTATTGCCCTGGGTATAATAAGAATATTCACTAGATGCTTGAAGAATGGTTAACCATTCTCTAGCCCTTACCTGAGTCAGGTGCTCTCAAGCCCCATGAATGCCCAAGCAGGAGAAATCATACTTTGACTTCAGGAATTAGCCCGAATTTTCCTCAGCTTCTCAGAGGGAATCCGAACACTAAAAAGTTTTTAAAATTCTCCCACTTTGGACCCTCCCTGGTGGCACATTGGGTTAGGATGCAGCACTGCAAGCTAACTGCAGCCACTTCAGTGTGAGGTCGACCCCT